AGCACAGCTTAGACGAACAATGCACTCCGCACCGAACATTGCTTGTTAATCTTGGCTTCCAGCTCTTCCGAGACGTTGGATATCTGATGATGGAGGAAAAGCCTCAAATCCCACCCGCCCGGATTAAAGCTTCTGAAACGTCGGTTTACAAACAGCCTCAAAAGTGACCGTGATCACTGGTGGGCCAAAATNAAAATAGCTAGTGAAATGGAAGTACCGGAGGCTTGAGGGAATAGTCGAAGACTTGCAACTGATACACAGCACCGGAGGTCGACGAACCCGGACAAACTATTCACAATAGGCAACATCGACTTGACCGTGGACGGTTGAAGCTGATGCTCCGTGGGCGTTGGCATGTGGACCTCCCACAGAAGCAGTAGTGCGATCTTGCATTCAAGCCCTGAATAAAAGAAAAAACAACAGGACTTAACGGACTTCCTCTCACACTTTTCAAGATCGGCGGCGATTACCTCGTAGGTTTAATTACTGGTTTACTACGTAACATTTGGTCGCAATGGCGTATTCCATAATCTTAGAGCAATTCAGTATTTACGACCGTTAACCATGCGCCTTCGTTTGACGGTTTTGGTTGCTGTCTGTAGGCTGCCCATTTAGACCCAAAACGAGCCTTCGAATCAGTTGAACGCGAATTCTTAGTGGGTTCGCTTATTCGCCAAGAAAGACCACTGAAGTATGTAAACATACTGAGGTCACTCACCTACTTCTGGCAGAATAAGGGTCTACGGCGAGCGAAGAAGACCGTTCCTAACTAGCAGCCGTGTTCGTCATAAGGTGCCCTATTTCGCTATTTTTGTTCCAGTTCGTCGTGGACGAAATAATGTAGAACTCGCCAAGTGGCTTCCAAGATGTTGGTATTGAACGGACAGCTGGAGACGACATCGTCTGTCTGTACCAATGTATGGCGGACGCGCAAGGCTTACAGACTAAAAAGTTCAGTTGCTCCATGCACGATACGTTTTGCACCTTCAAAGTATGTGATGATGCAAGACTGGGTGTCACTGAGTTCCCTACTGAAACAAGGTGGTCAGGAATCGACTGAACTTGAGGAGTTTGCGTAATCAACGACGGTAGCACAGTAATAGAGAAAATCGCACACTTCCAAAGCTCGGGCAGCGTACGCAGGATGATGTGCAGTTTCACTGAAGTTGAAAACTCTCGTATGCTGTGCCACCGTTCGGTCAGTTCTGCTGTACGGTTGCGAGACCTTGATTTCACGAGTAGAAGACATCCATTCTTTTGAGGTTTTTGACAATCGATTTTTGTCCCAGGTGGGATGAAGTGGGCGAGTCAGTAACGTGGGTGTAAGTCGTCGCATGTTTGAGAATGTATCGACGAAAAATTCGATATAGCATGGAATTTCTCTTACTAGACTTCGTCTGTTAGGACACGTTTTGCATGTCTAACAATAACCTACCGCAAAATGGCTTATTTGCAATGGCCGTTCCAGGCTGAAGATCACGGATGACATGGAAACGAGGCATGAAGAAACGCACAGAGCGTTTAGCTAAATGTGTCTCTCGTCTTCTGGGTTGGGGTCCAAAAGCCTCCTTAACGGGATGGTCGGATACACTGAAGATCATGGCAGTGAACTGGCCGTGGCGTTCCTGTTGTCACTTCTTATCAGACCAGAATGCTTGAAAGTGTGTGCGTCCACAGTGGCACTGTGCACACATTCTTCCACCCTTCTAGAATTGACCCTATCCTTATCCACTGTACGCATTCTCACTTCTCTTTTGTATGCATTACGAGTTTGGCGGCGATCAGTAAAGCTGCCTTCTGATGTGGTATGATGTTCGTTTTTTCTTCTAGTATCCATTTTGGAATGAATTCTTCCCCTCGGTGCCTTCCCGTATAGCGGTTAATACAAACGACTACAACTGTTTCTCGTCCATATGTGTGGTATTGTTCTCATGCAACAGATGCACTGTTGCCAGGACATCTGAAATAGATCAATACTGTATCGATTCGTCGTTTGTGCATAAAACAACAAACAGATTTACAACCTCAAGTTCACCAAAAAGCAAAGGGCGTCGATTGCAGAGGATGCTTTGAGGTTTAAGAAGACTGATGGGCTGCAGACTACCTCATTAATTTAGTGCAATGTAATGATCTGGGTGATGGCGAGGATGATTGTTAAGGCACTAATGCGAAGTTTGCGGTTTCCTTCTTAGCACACATGCCACACACGAACATGCAGAGAAGGATATTGGGTGAAGATGATTCACTGATTAAACAACACATACAGATGCAGTCAATCAAGTGGAAACATTTGGCAAAAAAGACAGATAATCGGGTGAGGTGCTAAGGTGGTGAGAAATGCTCTTAGGTTGCAGGTTTGATACTAAAAAACACGAAGACTCATTGTTATGATCATGTTTACAGATGTTTGCATTTGGATTCAGAACGTGCTCGTTTTCTCCCGTCGATCTGTTAACTATTCTGCTTCCCTGTACCGGAAGGAAACTTCACGGTTAAGCATGTCGGATGTGATCGTAACCTTTCACTGCAAATTGTGAATGATTTCCCCACAGTGTTTTTTTTGGGTTGCACAATGCTCTATGTTTTTGTTTCTTCGAAGCGTCTCAGGCAACGATCGGAAAATCTTGTTCGTTTGGCGATTCTGTTCCACCGCTGTTGCGAATGACTGTTATATCAGTCCACCGATTACAACTGATTTTCCCAATCGGAAAATTCCAAATTTCCACCAGATTCGATGTTTAGGACAAAAATTGAGCTGTCGTTTATCCGTTTTCCCCATCCTGTTTTGACATCATTCCAAATCAGGTCCCACTTGCGTGCATGGATGCCAGCCAGCCACAACTGTCTTGGTTTGGTGTCATGTGATTTGTAATTTGCTGTCCGATGATAATAATATTGTTGACGACGGAAGCCTTATTATAACCTGTAACAATTGTTTTCCTAATGAGACGTTGCTTGGAGCTTGTAAAATGCATATAGTTACATATGAGAAGATCATATGTAATATCCTGTTGCTCAGGGATAAGAATTCTCGGTGGAATACACCAGCCCACACAAAGACAACACCCATACCCTTTGTAATTTCGTGCACTCAATCGCCTGAGTTTGGTAATGACACCTATCGTGATTCATTCGCTCATACTTCCATATCTCGGTCGCTCTTTCTCTCTTCTCATCCGTCAATCATCACCGTTTAATCTCTCTACCTCACTTCGTCCCGATCCAAATAAACTGAAACCCAGAGTGACATGAAGTTCTTAACATTTTTGGGGGCTTTGTTTTTTCTCTGATTATTCATTATACCATTTCAAGTGTTGATTGATATGTGAATACATGCATTCAAAATTCATTGCAAAATCATCACTACCGGTAAGTGCTCCAACATCTCATTACCCGTTGAAATCTGGACTCCCGATCAACAAAATAAATAAACTATACACATTTTTTGTCATGTCCTTTCAAAAGCAAAGATAGGAAAGGGGGGTTAAAGAATGCGGTTAGGTCTGCCGCGGGACATTCAGTATCGGTTGCTCTGTGTCACTGAAACCTTCATATAATCCGCTAATAACTCCATATCGGTTTTCAGCTTGTGATTTACTAACTTGAGCACCAAATTATATTCTTCTCACTAGCCCCTCCCCCCCCCACCTCTCGATCCGCTTGATCGAATGAATATGTTGCACAAAAATTTCACAGATTAGTGATGTGCACCGGGTTCACGGGCTTGAAGACATACATACGGGCGTTAGTATAATCATCATGATTGCCTAATGTCGTAAACGGTTTACCCAATCACTTTATCAACCCCTCCTAATGCAGTTGTTTCATTTTTCCCATCTTTCTCTGAATTTCTCGATACGTGCTAGTCATTATTCATCAACGATACGCTTCTTGGTCCGGGAACATCTGTTGGTCACGTATACGTTACTCCCAAACCCAAGGCCTTTAACTCCTTGATCCTTTCGAAGCTATTTCTTCTCATGGTTCTTTCTTCATTCTAACTCACTTGAAGCGCCACACCCCGTCGTACAACAATAATATCACACGTGTAATTTTCAGTTCACGCACAAAGCAAACAGATCCAGATTCTTAACATCCGAATCCTTCAACTAACTGCGTTAAGTTTGTCTTGTTTAGTTTTTTGGTTCTTCTTCGAAATCGGACTTATTTCCTCCAAAAATTTGAAATTTTTGGTTGGTTTGGGAGATGAAAGTTTTCCACAATGTGGGTGACGAACCGGCACTATCGAACAGTTGACAGCACGGTGCTGTTCTTTCACTCTTCCTTTTTTTTTTTAACTTTGGCCGCATTTTCTCCTGAGGTACGCTGACGATGTTACTTTATGTTATAGTAGCATGTTACATGCAAATCTGGATAATCTTCCTCAAATTCACACTTTATCAGATTATTAGCTCTCACCTATACTTACTAATTCATTGTCCCCATTTTTTTTCCGAATTTCAGCATTGACAAGGTCGCTCGTATTCTTTCCCCGACTCTGATCATTCACGGAACAGATGATGAAATTATCGGAATCCATCATGGACATGAACTGTACTCCCGACTGAAACATCCATTGGAACCCGCGTGGATTGAAGGAGCTGGTCACAACGATATTGAACTGTTCGCTGAATACGCGATTCGTCTGGATCGATTTTTCAACGAAGACTTGGGAGAGGATCGATCAACCTGCCCCGGGGCCCAGAGAACCATATTTAGCCCAGCTTGTGTCTCACCTGTGGGAACAATCAGTCCAAATCAATCGTTTGTGCGATCCACTTTTGGCACGAAGCAACGGTTCAGTACGTCTCGAAAAACTCCAAGAAAACCAAACAGAAATCAGCCAGATAATACACGTGGTGCAGATCTGAGCGCTGCTAGCTACGCGGGGATCACCGTGGAAGGCTTGTCCGACACGACTAACGGTCATCCTCAATCTGATGGTAATCGTGAAGTGAGCGCACGAGCCCAATCTGCAGGTCACGGAGACTATTCGCGGTCGTCTCAGGAGGCGACTGATTCCCATGGGGTGTGGACAACGCGGAGGAATATATCAGGCCCCCAACTCTGTCGCACATCCACAATCCAAGAGACTCTGACCTGCAGTGAAACTGAAACAAACAGTAGCAGTTGCAGTCGAAGCAGTAGCAGTGGGACGGGAACTCAGCGCACGACGGTACGTGAGGATTCCGCAATCCGACGCCGGAGCAAATCCTCTATCAAACGTGATTCCATAAGACAACATCCCACAATCTCCAGTGAAGCACAAAGCGTACGAACCACAACCACAACAGCTGTGATCCTTCCAAGTGCAATGCTGGATTCTGTCGATTAGTACGCCAGTTATGTCAAATACTCCCGGTTAGTGGACCTCCTTTCAACCGTTTGATCACACATAGCTGTTCAATGGGTTGTGTTCGTTTCTACGATTGACAAATGAAAAATTGCATTTTTGCATTGCGTGTAAAACGAAGTTGTCTGATATGCATCAGCTCAGTCCACTCGTTTAACACAGCTATCAAGATCAACTTCGCATTTCTAAAGCGAATGTTTCACCGACTCGGTTTTAACCCCGGATGTGGGCTTTTTGTTCTCTTAATTTTTGGAAAACTACTTCCCACGTGATGGCAGTGAGAGGAACTTCCTCAGCCGAAGGTATAAAAAACTTATGGTCGTCTGGGGGGTATTTTACGAGGTGTGACGGAATGCGTTCAGTCACACAGTCAGATACCTACCTTCCACCCAGATTAGGTCTAGATGGACTGCCCCATCGACTTTTATCGATGCCTGATCTGGAGTCTGCAGACGACATTCTACTGCCAAGTGAAGATCCGGTTTAGTTGCAGGCTTTTCGGGCTGGTTTATATATATATGCTTGGTTGTCATGAGGTGTTTTGCAATTGATGAACCCCGGGTTACGTGTGACCGCCTGATTACTGGGCGTGGGTTGCACCAT